GGAAACCGCTGGCTTCTATGAATCTCCATTGCCAAGCTATCAGCAACGCACAGCCACCCTGGCTGTGCGGGGCGCCTCCTTCAGGTCAGCTCCTTTTTATTGGCTGACAGACGGCGTCAACCGTTATGGCTTTCGCTCATCTTCTCACAGATGACATCACCAGCTTATCAAAAACCTGCTTCACATTGATGTGTTTTGGCACTGGCCTCGAGAAACTGGAAGCCTGAGAAAAGCAGAGAGTGAGAGAGAGAGTGAGAGTGAGAGAGAGAGAGACAGAGGCAGAGAGAGAAGAGTTATGAGGTTGATTAGATAGATAGATATACTTTATTGATCCAAGATGGAAATTGCAGAAGCTGGGAAATTGCAGATATATTAAGTGATGTTGGTTTGTGTGGTGTGTATACTGACCAACTCTGTAGACAGTCTTTGGGCATCTTCAGTGGGGCCTGCCTGTCTTCTTCCAAGTCCAGCTTATTGCCTACCAGTGCTACTTGAGCATTGCCATGAGTACGTCTTGACTGGGTTGCCCTAGGAACACCAACACAACATTTTACAACCAGTTTTAGTAATAGTATTTACATTTTACATACTTTAAATAATGTACTTTTTATTATCTTACATTTATAAAGTTCTTTGCAAATTCTAATTGTACATAAAAAAACATATGATTAACAGAATATGATGCATCCTGCAGCGCAATGTTTTCAAATGGGGCGACCTATGACTAACTAATGCTTAATAATTCAATAAAAAAGTAAATGTAAATTCAATAAACCACATTTATATTCAAAAATTCCTATTTTCAATGCAATATTGCCATTAAAAAGGTCTACTACAGTAAACCTCTGGAAAAACTGTTTGATCAAAGCATTTTCCTCGCTGGTATACAACGGAAAAGCATCAGTGAAGCACAACTCAACGTTTCTCATCTGTACAGCACTTTGGTCAACTTTGGTTGTTTTAAAGTGCTTAACAAATAAAGTTGGATTGGATTGGATTGGACTGAGTTAGTGTTATTGCAGGATGACAAAAAAAATTGCCGATGGATTCTAAACATCTGAAATGAAGCATTTAAGTGTTTTTCTTAATGAATCAGACAATGGTGGCCAGCACTGTATTGTACCTTTAGGCATTTTGTTTCTACTAAAAATGTTTTGCGCTCATCAGTGGGTACTTGGCTGAAAAACATATTTAAAAAGGGGGAAATTATTGAAAAAAGTTTGTGAACCACTAATTTTTATAGATTTAACTACCCCCCAGTTAAGGCTAATAGCGATGATTGTAAGAATGAACTCCAGCTGAGATAGTTAAAATGCTGCTTACTTGTTCATGCATCAGTAATAATATTCCAATAATATGAGGTATATAATCATAAACACACTCTGTAAGGGGCCATTCTGCCCAACAACTACTTTTACTTTTGACACTTGCTGATAACACTTCTGCTACTTTTAACTTTTCAAGTCCACCACTTTATATGTAGAGCTGTGAGCTGTATATATATTCTATGTATGCCTATATATATTTTTAATTAGCTCTTTATACTTTTAACTACAGTAAATGTTTTACAGTGACTGAGGTAAATTGCGTGTCTTTACATGAAAAACTTTTAAATGTGTTTGTGGTTATTTGCTATTTTTCTTTTTTGCTGTATCCTGTTACTGCAGCAGTGGAACAAGTATTGTCTTGTGTATTAAACACATAGGAAAATGGCAGCTTGTCTCCAGGTCACAGACGCCAACAAATGCCTACTGGTTTAACAGTATGAAGTCACATCTGGAGGTCTACCCACCAGTCCTGTACGGCACAGAACGACTCCTGGCTTGTGATATCGTACATTAGCAGGAATCCCATGGCTCCTCTGTAGTAAGCGGTGGTGATAGTCCGGTAGCGCTCCTGTCCTGCTGTGTCCTGTATAAAACACGACACACCTGAGAAATGCTGTCTTTTTTTAAATGTTTTAAACCACATCTCAATCTCAAGGGAACAACATAATCACAGTTGTTGTTGTTGTTGCTGTTAAAGACAAAATTAGCCACCTCTCCCATTTATTACAGGGATAAGGATTTTTTTGTTCTAAATAAAATGATCTGTAACCAAATTGATTTACAAAAATTTTAATTCTCCTAACCAACAACAAGAACTTATTTCTTAGACATAAAAGAAAGGGAAGGAAACAAATGGTAAACCTGGTTGTCCTGAGAAGAGAAGGTAAATCATTAACTCTCTTGCAACAGAAGTTAATCCCTCCCATCATGTGTTGATTGTTGCCACACCCTGTAAATACACCAGGATGTGCTCTCTGCTTTGCGGTTACGCCTTAAGGGACAAAAATAAGTTCTAAAGATGTTACCTTTCTTCTTTATGCTCTTGGCTGATTGTAAGAAAACTGTTAAAGCACTGAAAGATAACTGATGTGGATACATTTAAATCGCCAAAAGAAATAAGCCTTTAACTGATCTTTAACAGATCTTCTTTAGCCTTTAACAGTCTAATCGATTTAAATGTCAGCCAGCAGCTGTCAGGTACAATATTAACACCATGCACTCTGAATATGGAGATATGACAGAAGGGCCATACTGTGAGAATCACAGCATGACATGCTACCACTGTCTCCAACTTTGGTGCATGGTTGAGTTGAGCTGGTCTTATTGGCCCCATGAAACCAATTCAATTATACCTTCCTCCTGTAAACGTATGCAACTGTATCATTGTTAAGCAGAGCAGAGCAGACAAGCTATGTTGAATACATTAAGCTAAAAAAAAAAATTTAAAAAAGGAAGAAAATTAAAGGATATATAACTTTCATCTAACAGGAGTGCGGTAGGTGAGTCCTCGCCTTCCACTAACATTTAGTAACGGATCTGTCCTGGTTGTCAGTCTGCGCAGTAAGCACATTCAGCTCCGGCAGCTCAAGCCCATGCATCTTTCATGAACCCTGCTGTCTGGGGACGATGTTAAACATCAACTGTCATTAACTCCACACTGTGAGAAATTAGTTTACGCCACAACCATGACAGGCAGCAGCGTGTAAAGAGGGCAAACTAGGGAACGTGGTGAGGATAAACAGTCTTTCAAAAGCCCTATACACTCTGCCTCTGGTTGAAGCTGCGTTTTAGAAGCTCTCAGCCCCAGGTAAATGCTGTTAATTACCCAGTAAATTATAGCTCTGACACTAGATAGACTGCAGCGTTTTATGCTCAATTTTGCTGATATATTGCCTGTCAAACTTGTTTGCTCTGTACAGTGTTTTTTTTTTTTCTGGTGTGGGGAATGAAAAACCTTCCTCAGCCTTTTACTGGAAATTATGAGGAACTCTTCAGGCCTCAGTGATGTGAGTGTCACAACTTTTTATGAACTTACACCTCTGCTGTAGGCTAACTAGACTCTTAATCCTATTAAACTAACTCAACTAGGCACATTTCTGTTCTTCTCACTCTTGTTTTTGTCGACCAACATAAAGATTTATGGGTTTTTTTAATCCTTGTTGAAATTAATGATAATACAGCCATCAGTGTGTTTTTGGGATTTGATACCCCACTGTCATTTCCAGAATACTTGGGCTCAATTAAGAAACAGTATATAGTATATAATGGCTCAATTGTGGCCATTTGACCATGCAGGAATTTGTTTCTTCCTGAACACAGACACATGAAAAAGTCCTTAATTTTCTTTGCATGTGTATGCATTTAATTTTTCTGTATCATATTTTGTAAACCAATTTCGTTACAGATCATTTTATTTAGAACAAAAAAATCCTTATCCCTGTAATAAATGGGAGAGGTGGCTAATTCTGTGCAAACCCACCTTAATCTGGGTATGTAACTGTAAATGTTTTTTGTTTGTGGTGGTTTCTATATTGTTTTCAATTCTGCAAACATTATAATATTAGAAAAAGTCTGAAGCCTTTTACTTTACAGGGGCATGAACATAGTCAAAAAGATTCAAAAAGATTTGAAAATACTACTAACAGTGTGTATATATATAGTGATATATGGCTTTGGTCCAATAGAACTTGCCCTGGGCTAACTGCTCAAGGTGCGGAGAGGTAAATAAACCAGAAGAGAATATAGACTCAGGGCCAAACAAGGTGACTAAATCTAATGTGTCTGGGCTTTCTGCCATTCATGATTTCAGTCAGAAAAACAAAGCAAGCAATACTACACTGAAACAAAACTACACACATTAGGTTTTACACTCATGTGTGCCAGATTAAAGAGAGTTAAATCTGGTCAAACTGTAACACCGTTTGCTAGTTTTTCTCGGCTTCTGCACTGAGCAAACATCAGTTTGTGCTGGTCTTATCTGCTAGATTTTTACTCTTTCCTGCTGCAGAGGAGAAACCAGACGTTGTGCATGTAAGCAGTTTGACAGCATGAAGGTGAAGGAAAGTAGTTTCATTTGTGACTCTTTTTTAATGCCACAACATTTTGCGTACAATGCCCAATGCAAGTTAAAATAAAAGTTCCTATTATTCCAAACCTACTGATTTTAAATATTTTGTTTTAAACTACAAGAGCCATATTGCTTTGTCTGTAAAGTATCACTTATATGACATATATTGATAAACATTTAACATTTGGGAGGTTTGTTGTTACAATGCCTTCTTCAAAACCTTTCCACCTAACACTATTCTAACTTTTAGCTTTTAACAATTACTACTTTTCTTTCTGGCTATTTTTCTACTACAAGACTCTTGTTCTCAATTTGTTTTAGTTTTGCTCTTTGTCACTCTTAGTTGGTCAGTGGAAAGAAAACATTTTATGCATCTGAAAAGCTCTACACCAAATCTTCCACCTTCATTAACATAGTCAAACTGTTTAATTTGAACTATATGTTGCTGAAATTAATAGACCAATCTTACTTTTTCATCATATTTCAGAGATCAATGACTCAGTGTATTTTTCTATCTCACCCAGATCTGAAGTTTCACTCTCTTGTCGTTCCTGTAGATGGTCTTGACTTTGAAGTCGATGCCCACTGTGCTGACAAAGGCTGAAGTGAAGGAGTCATCTGCATAGCGGAACAGGAAGGAGGTCTTTCCCACGCTGCTGTTGCCGATGATCAGCAGCTTAAACATGAAGTCAAAGTTTTGGTCGGCTGCATCTCTTTGCTCGGGGCCCGCCCCTGGATCTTTGGCTAGTGCCATCTGTAGAATAATGAAGTAGGACAAGAGAAGATGCATGCTCTTTCAGACTCATTTATAAGTATCCACCATTATTTTTGAAATGTTTTTAACGGTCCCTGGGATCATAAAAGGATTATGCAAACAACTAGTGCTAAAACAAGCAGCAAATATGTCACTGTTCCATTTTCTCCAATGTAATGTTATGCTGCTTTTCTCTGTTTTACATCACTGTAAATTGAATATTTTTGGTTTCAGATTGTTGGTCAGACACAATGAGACATTTGAAAACGTTGAGTTGGCCAAGACATCTTAAAAAAAGTTTCAAATAAAAGAAAAACAACATTAAGACAAACAACACAAAGATTTCAAATAAAACAAAACCAGCAACCGATGACAGTAGTCATTAATCTTGTAAACCACTTTTTTATATTTTGCTATTTTTGTATTGTGCAGTGCATACTGTATACTAATAAAAACTTTAGCTGAAGAATTTAGCTGATCCGTCAAAACCAGTAAAATAATTGTCTTTTTTTATAATGTTCTCATTTTTCAACATTTCCTAGTTTCAGTTTCTAGCAATTTGATCACATGAACTCTGGCTTCTGGAGATTGTTGCTGGATAATTTCACTAGATTCTGACATTTTATAGAAATGATGATCAATCAATTAATCTAGAAAATAAATGGCAGATTAAAGTTGCAGCCCTATTAGAAAATAATAAGTCAATCAGGTTAAAAGGCCTACAGTACATTGCCACTGATGACATTATACTGTATAAATATGTTTAAAGGCAAAGATGTGACCCTGGCAGGAAAGGTTGATGCAGAGGTCAGACAAAAGAGCTGCACACTGTAATGATAGTTTCCAATAAATCTAATTATTAGAGCAATGTTTCAATCCAACAGAGATTATTGTCAAGGGAAACTTAACGCAATGAGTCCTGCTAACTAACATCTGATTATTCACAATTAAACACATTGAAATTTACAACTAAAAAGCTTCTTGGAAATCACATCCATGCCAAACAGTTAGCCAATCGTATCTAGTCAAATGTTTATTTAATATTGAATTATGTAAGTGATATCAACTGAAAAAGTGAAGACGAATTAGGAACAGAGCAGCTGGGGC